GCTGACCTGAGCCCTTCCTTAAGCTGGTATTCCGGCTGCTCCCTGCTGACCTCTGCAGCTGCCTGTGCTATGATTAGCAGGGGAGCTGGCAGCGTCACCTTGGCTGGGGCCATCCTTCCTGCTGAGCACTGGCTGTCCTGGGAGACTCCCAGGCACCAGGGGAAGATGCTGGGTTTGTCTCCCCTCCTCTGAATTTTCAGCCAGGTTTGGCACCCGCAGCCAGGCTCTGTCTGGCTGTGGGGGTTCAGGCAGGCCTTATCCTCTCCCAGAGGAGAAAGGGGTGGCAGGTGGTATCCAGAAACTTTTCCCAAGCTGATGCTTTTTGGCTCCAGCTTGTTGGTCCAAGCCTTCCTGTCTTGATCCTGGACCCTGGTGACATCCTGCCTCTGTCCCACAGGTGTGCCAGGGCCGTGTGGTGCTGATCCTGACCTGGCAGGGCACGAACCCCCGCCTGCGCTCCATCCTCCTCAACTCCCACACTGACGTTGTGCCTGTCTTCGAGGTGCTGGAGCAGAGCGAGGGGTGGGAAGGGCACGGAGAGGAGGGCAGGGTGGATGGGAGCTGGAGCCTTCTGTGCCCTTCTGCCATCGTGGATGCTCTTCCCTGCAGGAGCACTGGACCTACCCACCCTTCGAGGCAGTTAAAGATTCACAAGGCAACATCTACGCCCGGGGTGCCCAGGATATGAAGTGCGTCTCCATCCAGTGAGTGGAGGGCTCTGCACCTGCTGGGTGAGCACGGTGCTGGTGGTGCCCCTGAGTGATGCAGGACAGGATGCAACTATCCCCAGGGTCCCTGGGGCCAGAGGTGCCACCTCTGCCCTGAGGTGGCTCAGAGCACACAAGCCCCTCTCCTCCACAATGACCGTACACTACCTTCCCTTGCAAGGTACCTGGAGGCCATCCGGAGGCTGAAGACAGAAGGGAAGTCTTTTGCCCGCACCATCCACCTCACCTTTGTGCCTGGTGAGTCCTCAGGCTGTCCCCTCTCAGGAGGTACAGAGGGGCTGGCAGCTGGGTGGTGCTGTGGAGTCTCCCATGGCAGCCAGGTTCCCCAGATTTTGCCCTCTCCTAGCTCAAGGCTGGAGAGGTTTCCATGTCCAAGGACATCAGGTGTGCTGATGGCGTCCAGGCTGGCATGGAAGGAGGACTAGAGGTGGTGGGCTGGGGGATGCCCCAGTTCCTTCTTCCATGCCAGGCTCTCCCCCACAGATGAGGAGGTGGGCGGACACAAGGGCATGGAGATGTTTGTGCAGCGCCAGGAGTTTAAAGCACTCAACGTGGGCTTTGCCATGGATGAGGGTGAGTATTGGTAGGGCTGGCATTGGGATGTGTCTCCTCTTGGCATCACTCCCCAGGCACCAGCACCCCACATGCTTCCAGGGACCCCCTTGGGGGATCCTTCCCCTGGGCAGTGGGGAATGGACACGGTGCCAGTCTGGAGGAAAAGGCTGTGAGGACAGAGCAGCATTTTGGTACCTCCATGTTCCACTGACCCTCTGTCTGTGCCCACCACAGGCCTGGCCAGCCCATCTGACACCTTCAGTGTCTTCTATGGAGAGAGGAGCCCATGGTGTGAGTATCTGTGTGTCCACTGCCCTGTCCTTGGCTCTGCTGGGTGCTGGGGCACTGATGCTATCCCAGGCTTTCTGCTCAACCCTTGCCTCTACGCCTGCTGCTGCAGGGATAAAGGTGAAGTGCACGGGTAGCCCCGGGCATGGGTCCCGCTTCATCAGCAACACGGCGGCTGAGAAGATGGTAAGAGAGGGGGTACCCCCTGTGCACCCCCATGCCTGCCCTGGGCTGCCAGGCCCCTGCCCATGGGGCTGGTCCTCACCCGCTGCCCTTCCCTCCCCAGCACAAAGTCATCAACTCCTTCCTGGCCTTCAGGGAGAGCGAGAAGCAGAGGTAAGAGATGGGCAGCAGGATGGCAGTGGCTTAGTTCAGTCCGTGAAGGGGCTCTTGGGATCCCAAGCCAAGCTGTGATCTGGTGCTGCTGCCCTGTGCCTCAGTTTCCCCATTTTGGGTGATGGCAGGGTAGGGAAGCACATCTCCCCAGGTGGCAGATAGTGAGTGTCCCTTGCATCCCCCAAGGCTCAAGTCTGACTCCAACTTGACCCTGGGGGATGTCACCTCTCTCAACATGACCATGCTGGAGGGGGGTGTCTCCTTCAACGTGGTGCCCTCCGAGATGGCTGCCAGCTTTGACATCCGCATCCCACCCACCGTGGACCTGAAGGTGGGCACCGTGCCAGCCCCACCCGGGAGAGGAGTGGGATGAGGGTACCCTGCTCACAGCCTTCCTCTGGTCTCTGCCCCAGGCCTTCGAGAAGCAGGTGGCCACGTGGTGCCGTGATGCTGGGGAAGGTGTCACCTGTGAGTTCCACCAGGTGAGAGATCTCAGCTACCTGGCCTCCCCTGTCCCTCCCCTGTCAAATGCCACCCCCTCGTCCCTTCATCTGCCCTCTGCCTCTTGTCAGAAATGCATGGACCAACACATCACCTCCACTGAGGAGTCAGACCCGTGGTGGAAGGCCTTCAGTGGGGTCTGTAGAGACATGTAAGTAGTGTCCCTAGGAAGGGCAGGGACATCCTCTGCTGGAAGCCAGGTTCTCCCCAGGGGCTCTGAGGTCATGTCAGGGGCTGGGATGGGGATTTGCCAAAGCATCTCGCAGTTGCCCCCCAAAAGGGATGGGACTGAGTGTCCTGCAGGGCTGAGGGATGTCCTGGCACAGTCTTTTTGCCCACGGGGTATGAGTAGGACAGGGGACTTGGCTGGCTGTGTGTCTGTGCTGACACAGGGTCTGTCTTGACAGGAAGCTGCAGCTCAAGCTGGAGATCTTCCCAGCTGCCACCGACAGCCGCTACATCCGAGCGGTGAGTGTGCTGCCAGCCTGCCACAGGGCTGAGACCCGGGCTGAGACCACAGCCCCGAGCAGGAGCTGTGTGCAGGTGAAAGGGGGCATGTGGTGCCCATGCCAGCTGTGACCTCACTTTGTGTGTCCCCATCTCCAGGCAGGACACCCTGCTATTGGCTTTTCCCCCATGAACCGCACCCCGGTGCTGCTCCATGACCACAACGAGTTCCTGAACGAGCAAATCTTCCTGCGGGGCATCGAGATCTACGCCCGCCTCCTGACTGCCCTGGCCTCAGTGCCCCCGCTGCCCGCCGAGGGCTGAGTGCCTGGCGAGGGGCAGGGAGTGCCAAGCAGAGAGACACAAGGCTTTAAAAACAGGGGCAGGGGCTCTGGGCACAGCACATACCTGCTGCGGAGCTGGGGATGTAATGGCATCGTTCCATGTTGGCTGTGTTCAGGGCTGGCCTGATGGGGACACCCACAGGGTTGTGTCCCCCTTGGTCAGATGACAGTAGAGCCTCATACCCAGGTGCCTCCAGCCTTTCCTGGTGTTGTCAGTGCCTCCCCCTCTCCCTGTGCCATCTCTGGCTGCACTGGCTGGGTGGTAAGGGGCTGGCCAGTGCTCCACTCTGCCTCCCCATGCCTTGTCCTGCCTCCCTGCCCGCTTGCTGGGGGAGCTGGGGCCAGTGCTGCCCACTCTCCCTATCAATAAATCTTGGTAAGCACAGCCTGGAACAGGGCAGTGTGTCTGTCTGTCCATGCTGGTGCTACCCACGGGGTCGAGGCACTGCAGATTTCCTGGTGCAGTGCAGTTTGCTGGGGTGCATCTCCTGCCCTGGGCTCATTGCCTGCATGACAGCAGTGCAGGCAGGATCCTGCCCGGGCAGGCTGAGGGCCTCTGCTCCCGATCAGCCTCAGGGGACGGGTGCTGGGGCTCATCCTGCTCCCTCCCTCCTTCCCTCCCTCTCCCCTGAGCTTCTCCTGCTTCCACAGACCCTCTGGTCAGGGCAGGCAGCGTGCGGGTCTGGGCAGGCACCTCTGCTCACCTGCCAGAGCTGCATTGGCTGCTCCTCCTCCTCCTCCCTGCTCGTTCCCAGCCCTGTGTGGCTCTCAGTGCCCCGGGGTGTGGGATCTGTCCCGGCCGTGCGGCTTCCTGGGGAAACCAAGGGCCCGCCAAGCGAATTGGGGTGGTTTTACACTGCTCAGGAGGCTGCCAGAGCTGCTCCATTACAAAAGGTGGGGGTGAGCCAGGGCTCCTGACCTCTGTTTTAATTAAAAAAGCTGCTGGAACCCTTGGGGGGCTGGGGATTATGAGGGTGCCCTGTGCTGGGCTGGGAGAAGAGATGAGGCTGGTGGTGATGAAGCACTGAGGGAGAAGCCACCTGCTCCTCCTCTCCTTCCCCTCCATCCAGTGCAGGGGGAAGTCCAACATTTTTGGGTGCAGGACACACTTGCTGTGTGATGAGGCTCCCAGGGGAAGCCAGCGTGGATTCTCTGAGGTGTCATACAACCACATCCTGTGACCCAGCAGCCCTGGGGGAGGATGGCATAGGAGTGGTGTGGGTACCGTGGGGTCCTTGCTGGCCAGGATCCTTGCCCAGGCTGTTGGCACCTTTGCTTTCCCCTGCCCTGTGGGTGTGCCAGACTACCTGTGGCACCCTTTGCCCCTCTCGACCCTACTCAGTCCCCTCCCCAGCTGGCCTGCTGTGCCCAGCTTGCCTGGCACTGAGATGGGACTGACAGCTGTGTGCTTGCTCATGCTGGGAGATCACAGCACGACGAGCATCCTTCCCGGGGGGCAGGTCTGTATGGCCTCTCCTACTCCTCCAGCAGTGCGAGGCTGGGGGACCAGAGCTTCCCTGCCTTGCTCCCCATCCTCAGGGATGAGCCCGAGGTGCTGGCAGGGTCGCTTCAGGGGAAGGGGACTGCAGTAAGGTCTAAAGCGTTGCTTTAGGGACACTTTGAGGCGTGCGGAGCTCTCCGGGTCCCCCCGGGAGATGGGGCCGTCCCCCCGCGCATCCCCGCCGCCCAGGGCTGGGGTTTGGCGGGGCCGGGCCGGGGCGGGCCGGGGCGGGCCGGGGGCGGTCGGATGGCGGCCCCATAAAGGCTCGGTGCCACGGCGGGCGGAGGGCGCGGCGGCGGGATGCGGGCAGCGGTGGCGGTGTCGCTGTCGCTGTGCTGGCTCTGGGCGGCGGGGCGCAGCCTGCCCCGGCTGCGCCTGTCCTACCGCGGTGAGCCGGGCCGGGGGCACCTGCTGCGGGACGGGCAGGGGCTGGCCAGGGAGGGGCGTGCTCAGGGTGCCCCCTCGGGGGCAGGCTGGGGACCTGGGGAGCCTCAGCTGCGGGAGCTGCTCCCAGTGCGGGGTTTTCGTGCTGATTGTGGGCAAATTGTGCTGGGGGCTCGGGCTGGCTGGGGTTTCGTGGGTGGCTGCTCTGCACCCTCTGCACCGTCCACCCACGGGGACGTAGAGGCCCCCCGAGGAGGAGGGAGAGAGGAACGGTGACGGGGACAGGGGATGTGCCGGTGCCGCCGGGCTCCGCGCCAGCCCCGCCGCTGCCCGTGGGGGCTCGTCTCCCACGCGGCGTGCGGGGAAACCGAGGCACGGCGCTGTTCTGGCCCCGCACGCTTTGGCTCCTGTGCCGGGTGGGCGCTGCGGTGCGCGGGTGGTCCCCAGCGGGCTGGGTGCTCAGCATCCTGCCCCCGGCTGTTTGGGGGTCCCGGTGCCCCCTCCGAGCCCCGTCGCCCTGGGGTGCGGGTGCCGGGGTGCCGGGGCCCCTCGGGGGTGCGGGGGCAGCGCTCGGCTTTAATTAAAACTCTCCCTGTGATCCTGCTCTGGCTCGCCGCATCCCCCGCTCTGCCAGCCTAATCCACGGGCTGCTCCAGCCAAACCTGACAGAGCCTGGGGCACCCCAATCTCCTCCCGGCCTCCAAGCAATAACCTGCTCTAAAAAACGCAACATAAAATAAATTACATCATGTATATCTTCCCCATTCCTTCCCAGAAGGGGGAAAGACCTGGGCAGCCCAGCACTTGCAGAGCCTCGGGAGCTGCAGTGCCAGGGAAAGTTGCTCCTCTGCGCCTGGGCTGGGGGTTCCTGGGTTTTTTGCATCCCTCGTTCTGTCCTGGGGCACAGCAGGTGACCCCAGGGCTGCCTCTCTGTGTGTGGAACGGGAAACTGAGGCACACAGTGCCCCCATCCCCTCATCCTGGGAGCCCGGGGTGGCTCATGGCTCTGCCCCGGGATGCGACCCGGTGTCCTCAGGCTGGCCTTGGCACAGGGTGAGGACATCTGGGGTCTCAGCAGGGGTGAATCGTGGGGCTCAATGTCTGGCTCAGTGTCTGATCCTCTCCAGCACAAAGTCCATTTCCCAGGTGTGAGGAGCTGCCCGGGGCGGGGTGGAAGCTCCTCAGCCTCCCGCGGGAAGTGTGCCACCTTTGGAAGCTGCTTTTTTTTTTTTTTTTTTTTTTTTTTAATTTTTTTTTTTTTTCCCCTTAAGCTGATTATTCCATTCGTTTTCCAAATTGGAAACAGCAACTGAAATTTCCCATGAAACAAATTCTGCCACCGCCTTCTCCCCGGGGGAAGAAAAAAAAATAGAAAATGTCAATTAAAGACATTAGAGTCTCTGAAATTAAAACCATGGTGAGCTGAAGCTGTTTGTGCAGAGCTCCTCGACCTGGGCTCTGTGTGGCTGCTGGCTCTGCTGTGAGGTGACTCTGTGGGGTGACAGGGACAGGCATTGTGCTGTGGGTGCAGTGGTGGCTGTGTACCCAGCTCTCCCTCACACTTCCAGCCACTCTTTCCCTTTTGTTTCAACTTCCAGCAGTGGCTCATGTGAGAGGGGAAAGAGCATTTTGCTGTTGTGAGGACCAGAAGCATTGCCCTGCGCTCTTTGCTGTCCTGAGGGACCCCCATGCTGGGGTGAAGGTGTCCCAGGGGTGGATGGGGCATGGCAAAGGGCTGGTCCCTGGGGATTGGAGGGGAAGGCGCCCTGAGCCAGTGTAACCCGAGGCGCAGGAGGAATTCTCCAGGTCTGGGGGAGAAGGGGAAGCCTTGCCTGAAACAATAAAAGGAGCCTGCCGACTTTGCCAGTGTTGTTTTGAGCTGGGAAAATGTTTTTGCTGGGCAAGAATAGAAGGAGACGACAGCGTTTTCCTGGGCTGGCCCCGGTGATATGGGAGGACCTGGTGCTGGGAGGACACAGGGAGGAGGGTGCCAGACTGGGTGGAGGGACCACCACTGCCTGGAGCCAGCTCTGCTTGCAGGCACAGGGGTGTTTCCAATGAGGATGGAGCGCTGGGGCTGTATCCCCTGTACCACTGCCACCACCAGCCAGGGCACTGGGACTGCCCCTGAGCAGGGATAGGGGGTGTGGTGGGCTGAAGGTGTCTGTAGTCCCCTGCTGGGGATGGACCTTGTCTCCCTTGCAGGGCCTCGAAGAGGCATTTCCACCAGAATGGGAATTATGTCATTGGCCACCTCCTTGCTGGAAGTGACAAATGTCCCCCCAGCAGGAGCAGGACTTGGTAGCCCAGTGTCCTGAGCTGTGGTGGCTGCATTTGTCCCAGCACCACCTCCCCTCTTCTGGGGACATGTGTGGGAGATGCTGGGGCTGGGTTTTACCCTGGGGTCAGCTGCAGTGGCTGGCAGTCTTCCGGGCTGGAGGGTGTTTGGGGACAGAGCTGTGCTCATCAATGGTGCTTTGTCCTCTCCTTCTCTGTCTGGCAGGCACAGTGGCCTGGCCTGGGGTTGGGGTGGGTTCTCAGAGCCCTGTGAAGCTGAGCCATTCCCTCTGGCCCTCTCCCTCTGGCAGCTGTGGCAGCTCTGTGGGCACCACTGTGCTGGCTCGATGACCCTGAAAGTAATTTCCTACTGGAAACCAGCTGAGCCACTGCCCCCGTGTTGTCATCACTGTGAGGCATTGCACGAGATTCAGGCTTGGACTTGCTCTGGGGGCTTTGACTGTCAGACCCTGTTGTTTGGGATGTGATGTCCATCCCTGGGATACCCCCATGCTGGTGCCTCTCCCCAGGTGCCTTGTGTGTGCCATGGAGGAAGCCATCCTGTCAGTGAGTTCTGGTGGCACTGGCAGCAGCGGGCTTGGCGTGGCAGTTTCCCCATGGCACTGGCTGGGTGCCTGCTATTGTGTCCTTGGCTGGCACCCAGCAGGGACAGGACCTGCTTTGCACCCACCCCATGTCCGGTCTCGCCTCCATCCCAGCCTGGGGCTGCTGGCACTGCCCAGCTTGCTGTGGCACGGCCACAGTGGGAGTCTGGGGTGGTTCAGCCAAACCTTGCTGGGGGTGGCAACCTCTCCTGGGACCCTGCTGCTGATTGTTGGCTCTGCAGCTTTGTCCTTGGCTGGCAGGGAGAGCAGCACTCCAGCCAGGTTGAGGCTGGGATGCCCATGAGGCAGATGCTGCAGGCTGGAGTGGCTGTGAGCAGCTCTGCTGACTCCAGCACAGCTCCATGGTACTCAGCAGCTCCGAGGAACCCTTGGGGCTGGGATGGCTCCTGCTGATGCTTTCACCTCTTCCTGGCAGAGCTTTTAGGCTCCAACCGCTCCGTGCTCTTCTTTGGCCACCGCGGCTCCCTGGGCTTCCGCTGCCTCTACCTGGACGAGTACCGCGACCGGCTCTTCCTCGGGGGCAAGGATGTGCTCTACTCCCTGCTCCTGGACGGGGCCACTGCAGATGCCAAGGAGGTGAGCTGGGTGCTGCTGAGCATCTGGGGTGTCTGTCCCCACCCTGGCCCCCTGTGGACCTGTCAGTGTCCAACAGAGCCGGGCAAAGTCACTCTGCAGCAAGGCCTGCCCTGGGCATGGCCTCATCTCAAGTGCCTCGAAATTATTCTGTAAACTTGTAATGCCTGGCAAGGGCAGGCTGGCTGAGGTGGCTGGAGGGAAATTAGCTGGTAATTAGTCATGATCATCAGCCTAGGAAACTGGTAGTGCAGCTCACCAGTGATTCCTGGGCAGTGAGCATTGTTTTGGACCCCCCTCTTCTAAAAAACTGCCACTGGGAGATGGAGTGATGCCCATCCCCATCTGGGGATTCCCTTCACAGGCCAAATATTCAGCTGAAAGCCTGCAGAGACAAGGAGCTAAAGGGATCCATCACTGCAAGAAGTTGTGCCAGGGTTCACCTGGCAAAGCCCCCAGATCTCTCCTAGTTCCTTGGTGGGAGAGATGATAGACCAGAATGATGGTGCTGGGTGGTGGTTCCCCTCCTCTTTCACCCTCTCCACTTTGACTTTTTGTTTTTCAAACATGGCTCTGGGCTGTTTCTAGCTGAAGAGAGGAGGGGAGGAAATGAAGTGCCCCTCAGCGAGCTGGGTCACTGCAGTGGGGTCAAGGGCTTGTGTACCCAAGCTGCCCTCAGTCCAAGAGCTGCTAAAGGCTGTGGGGGACATGGACTCCATCACTCCTGCTGTCCCCTGGGCACCCTTTCCCCAGGCCACCCACAAGCCCACCCCCTTCCAGGCCAGCTCCAGCCATTCCCAGCATGACCACCCAAATCCAGCCCAGCTGTGGGCTGTGACTGCCAGGATGCATCTGCCCAGGAGGAAGGGTCCTGCTCGGGGTTGTAGGGTGGGAGTCCCGGGCTGGGTGGGATCCAGGGAGCTGTGGTTCCTCTCTCTGTCCCTCTCTCTATCTGCTTGCCATTGGCAGCCTGGGGATGTGGATTTGCATGGCTGGGTGCCTGCTGTCTCCCCTCCCTGCTCCAGCAGACCCTTTGTGTTCCAGATCTATTGGCCACCCCGCCCTGGGCAGACGCAGGAGTGTTTCCAGAAGGGGAAGGACCCAGGGGTGAGTCTCTCCCCATGTGTGCTCTGCTGTGATCTGGGGGATGCCAGATGGGTCCCCTTGTGACAGATGGTTCCTCCCATGTTGGGGCTGTGCCATGTCACCTGCCAGGGGTGGCCCTGGGGCTCAGGGGCCAGTTAATCCTCGTGCAAGAGGGAAACTGAGGCAGGGAATCTGCGGCCAGTCCTGGCCATGCAATAGTCTTGCTCTAGGCTCTGGAAATCCTGTCTTAGTTGCTCTGCTCAGCCCTGTGGCCAGAGAGTGGTGGCCAGTGTGTCCCAATGTGGCTGCACGAGCAGGCAGGGATAGCTGGGCTCTGGAACTGGAGCTTGGAGGGACCCAAACCCCCATGCTGTGCTCCAGACCCCAGCAACACTGCCTGCCCCATCCTGGCTGCCCCTGATGGTGGGAAATCTGTAACTGGCTCAGGTTTGGTGACCTTGTTCCTTAAACCTTACCCCTCTTTGCATCCCCCTGCCCGATATGGAACAGGACTGTGGCGGGGAGAAAGTCCCCAAGGCTCCCCTGGCCCAGACAAATTGCTCCCAGGAGTCCCTGTTCTGCTCTCTGTGTTTATTTTACCAGCTCTCACCGACAGATCCAAGCCAGGGCAGGCTCAACTTTTTATTTTTCTTGAACGTATATTTTTTTTCCCTTGCTATTTTAGAGGCTCTTTGCAAAGGGAAAATAAACAGCAGGAGGCTGGGAGCCCCCGGGGCGGCTGGGCAGCGGTGTTCCCAGCAGAGGAGGGGCTCACATCCCGCTGTGGAGGGGACAATACAGGGCAGACAGGGCTGGTGCTGGCCAGGGGAGCTGCCAAGCTAATGGTGGAGAAGGATGGGAGCCCTTTTCCAATGGGAACTGCTGGGAGAAAATGCACAAAGTCAGAGGTGGCAGGTCTCCAGCCCTGGGAATGTCATTGCTGCCGTCCCTCAGAGAAGGGGACAATTCCAGATGGCAGCGACCAGGGCTGTTCTGGAGGCAGCCCAGGATGCCTGTGGGTCTCTGTCTGTCTCCACTGTTTCCTCCTTTTGTTTCATCCCTGGCCTAAGCAGGAATGTGACGGGGAAGGATGTCCCTGCATCTGGTCACGTCCTGGGTGCCGGGGGTTCGGGGCCAGGTTTGCAGCTTGCAGGGCAGGTGACATTGCTGCCCTGGCCAGCGTGGACTGTGCCACAGGGTGAGTGCACAGGTGCCTGTGGGCATCAGATGCCCAGGTGGCAGCTGGATCCTGTGCAGTTCCCCTGGGATGCTCTGGGCAGCAGGAGGATCAGTAAAAAGCCCTGTTGTTTTGCAGTGGGCTGGGGCCCACCCAGATGAAGTCCATACAAGCCCTGTCAGTGGGCACAAGCTGCCACCACAGATCCCTGGCACCAGGGGAGGCAGGGAGCCTGGGTGGAGCTCAGGGAGCCAGGGCTGGGGCTCACCCACTGTGGCAGGGCCCCAGGCTGAGGCAGGGAGCTGGGGTGGGCACAGCACCAATACCCAGTGACCCTTCCTGTCCCTGCTGTCCCCCCAGACTGACTGTGCCAACTATGTCCGTGTGCTGCATCCCTACAACCGGACACACCTGCTGGCCTGCGGGACAGGCGCCTTCCACCCCATGTGCACCTTCGTCTATGTGGGGCACCGTGGTGAGGTAGGGCAGCATCCCCAGCAGGACAGCCCTGGAATACAGATCCCCAGTGCCTGCCTCTCTCCTGAGGGGCCTTGGGACTGCATGGGGTTGCTGGATGTGCAGTTTGCTCTAACCTGAATACGGGTGGGGGGGGGGGGGGGGGGGGGAGTGTCAGGAACCAGCTCCCTGTTGTCCCTTTGTCCTTCTGCTACTCCCTGTCCAGCTTTCCCACATGTCTGGCCTGGGATCCCCTTTATAGACGTGTCCCCAGGGGCTGGTGTCCTGCCAGGGGCTGAGGTGGGGGTGGCATTTTCTCCTCTCCAGCTCACTGCTCACAAATCAAGTTGGCTGGGGTGGAATGGCAGGACACCCCTCAGAGCCCTCCCCACAGCATCCTGGCCCTGTCTGTACCATGATGACTCTGACCAGGCAGGCAAGCAAGCAATGGGGCTGGCGGGTCCCCTTCAGCTGCTGTACACCCTTGTGGGATCAGTCTTGCCTCAAAAAGCGTGGATGCTGCTTCCAGATGGTCCTTTGGGTGCCCTGAGTCAGGTGCAGGTTGGGCAGGGACCAGAGGTGGCCCCTGCATGGCCCAGGGCTCACCTGCCTGCTCCTCTTCCCAGCACACCTTCAGCCTGGACCCTGCCAGCGTGGAGAGCGGCCGGGGCCGGTGCCCGCACGAGCCCAGCCGCGCTTTCGCCAGCACCGTCATCGGTGGGTGCCCTCCTCGGGATGTGGGAGCCTCGGGGTGTCCCAGGGATGGTCCCCGTGGCAGCAGCTGGGTGTGTTTGCAGGAGGGGAGCTGTACGCCGGCCTCACGGCAGATTTCCTGGGGCGTGATCCCGGCGTGTTCCGCAGCATGGGGACCCGCTCCGCCCTGCGCACGGAGGTGGACCAGCGCTTACTGCATGGTAACAGCTGCCCTCTGCCCCTCCCTCTCCCCCAGCCAGGCACCACCAACCCTGTGGTGGCCAGAGCATCTGTGGCCATGCTGCAGCATCCCCCATGCCAGCTAAGGGCAGGGACAGGCACCAGGACAGCAAGGTCTGGGGGTGCTGCTGGCTGGCATCCAGCCCCAGCATGGACTGGGGCTCTGGAGGTGGTGGCTGTGCCCTCTCTCCCCACTTGACATGACCAGCTCTTGCTTGCAGATCCCAAATTTGTGGCAGCCCACTTGATCCCAGACAACAATGACCGGGACAATGACAAAGCCTATTTCTTCTTCACGGAGAAGGTGGTGGAGGCAGATAGCAAGGAGCACGCCATTGTCAGCCGTGTGGGGCGTGTCTGCGTGGTAGGATGCTGGTGGGGACGTGGGGAACAGGGATGCACCAGTCACAGCAGTGGCCCTGATACTCCCTGTCCCTGCAGAATGATGCTGGTGGCCAGAGGGTGCTGGTCAACAAGTGGAGCACCTTCAACAAGGCCCGGCTGGTATGCTCAGTCCCCGGCCCTGATGGCATTGACACCTACTTTGATGAGCTGGGTAAGGTGTGAGCTGGGTAAGTGAGATACAGCTCTGTACAGATGGAGCTGTATCTCACTGGGGCTAGTCACTTAGTTGGATTTCAGGAAAAAGCCCATGCTTTCATTTCCAGAGGATGTCTTCTTGCTGAGGACAAAGGATGGGAAGAGCCCAGAGATCTATGCCCTTTTCAGCACTGTCAGGTGGGTGATCCAGCTCCAGCCTCTGGGGACATCCAGCTGCAGCTGCCCATGACCTGCCCTTTCACTGTCACTGTCACCAAGGGCTGCTGGCTACTCCCCGTGTCTTTTGGGGATGTCAGTGTCCCTGCTGCCTGCAGTGCCAAGCATGGCTCTGCTCAACCCACTCTCTGTCCCCTTGCAGCCACGTTTTCCGGGGCTCTGCTGTCTGTGTGTACCGCATGGCCGACATCCGGGAGGTGTTCAACGGGCCCTTTGCCCACCGGGAGAGCCCCCATCACCAGTGGGCTCCCTACGAGGGCAGGGTGCCCTACCCACGGCCAGGCGTGGTGAGTGACTCCCTGGAGCTCCAGGTCCCTCTCCTCCTCCAGCTGCTCTGCTGGGGTGGTGATGGAGCCATCCCCATCTTCTCATCTGCTGGAGAGGTCAGCTGGTGCTTTGCTAAGGTCTGGCACAGGGGTGGAAGAGATGATGCCAAACTAGAAGGCAGAGAGGGGACCCAAGACATCTCTGAGGGGCGAGGGAGGGGGAAGGAGTGATGGGTGCTGGGGTGTCTGGGCTAAGCTGGTCCCCTCCTGTCCCTGCAGTGTCCCAGCAAGACCACCAACCAGCCCCGGCGGCAGTACGGCACCACCAAGGACTTCCCTGACGAGGTGCTGCACTTTGCCCGTGCCCACCCCCTCATGTTCCAGCCCGTGCTCCCCCGGCACCGCCGGCCCCTCCTGGTGAAGACCGACCTGCCCCAGCGGCTGCGCCAGCTCGTGGTGGACAGGGTGGAGGCCGAGGACGGGCAGCACGACGTCCTCTTCCTCGGCACAGGTGAGCAGCAGGGGCACAGTGCAGGAAGGAGCCGCAGAGCTGGGGGTCCCAGTGGGCACCCCCGGGCTCTGAGATGCAGGGTGCTCACACCTCCATCCTCCTTGGCCCCCAGATGCTGGCTCAGTGCTGAAGGTGGTGGTCATGCAGAAGACGAGCTCAGCCGTGACTGAAGAAGTCATCCTGGAGGAGCTGCAGGTTTTTAAGGTGACATTTACTGCCCCACTCACAAGGGAGGGGGCAATGGGGTGGGCTCAGGTTGGGGACATGTGGGATGGAGGGTCAGGGCTGTCACTGCATTGTTGATCACTGGCAGGTCTCAGGGTTGTGAGGGCAGAGGCCGGCTGGGGGTATTTTCACCCTCCCCAAAACATTCCTGATGCTCTGCCAAGCCCTGGTGGCTCTGAATGAGCTGGGCTGTCTGTGGTGAGGATTATGCCAGCCTGATGTCCTCTGCCCTCCCCTACAGATGCCTGTGCCCATCACCCAGATGGAGATCTCTGTCAAACGTGTGAGTACAGACACACCTTGGCCATGGGGCTGGGGACCGGGCAGGTGTCCAGCTGTGGTCACCAGCCTCCTAAAGCCATGTGATGTGTGCCCTGGGGTGTCCTGGCTGGGCCCCCAGGCGCCAAGCCCAACCTCAACACCTTGGTGCTGTTCCCCCAGCAAATGCTCTACGTGGGCTCCAGCCTGGGCGTGGCCCAGGTGCGGCTGCACCAGTGTGAGTCCTATGGCACTGCCTGTGCCGAGTGCTGCCTGGCCAGGGATCCCTACTGTGCCTGGGATGGCACTGCCTGCACCCACTACCAGCCCTCCGGCAAGCGCCGCCAGCGCCGCCAGGACACGCGCCAGCCCAACCCTGCCCACCAGTGCCTGGACCAGAACCTGACCGGTGAGAGACTGGGGACCCCAGGGCTGGGGGGCTCCTCCCAGTGCCCCAAGATGGCCTGACATGCACAGCCCTAGCACACAGAGGGGCTTGTGGCCCTTCCATGTGGGCACCCTCATCTGCCCGTCTCAGAGACCAGGGCATGCCCTGAGAGAAGGTGGGTGCTGCTGGGGCTGGCCACGGGGAGAGAAGGGAATGAAGCCACACAGTGGCCAAGGGGGCCTGACACCTGGGCAGGTGGAAGCTTGGCTCTGCCCTCCCTGCGAGCCCGTGCCTGTGTTTGCCCTAGTGGACGATTTTGAGAGCGTTGAGGAGAAGGTGCTTTACGGGGCAGAGGACAACAGCACCTTCCTGGAGTGCGTGCCTCGCTCCCCGCAGGCCAGCGTGCAGTGGTTTGTCCAGAGGCCGCCCGACGAGCAGCGGGACGAGGTGAGGCTCCCCTGCCCTGCTCCCGATGTGGGGACACGGGAGGGACGTGGGGGCACACCCGGACCCTCCCAACGCCCCGGTGGCCCGCAGGTGAAGACGGACGAGCGGATCCTGCAGACGGAGCAGGGGCTGCTGTTCCGCAGGCTGCACCGGAACGACGCCGGCACCTACTACTGCAAAACGCTGGAGCACGGCTTCACCCAGACCGTGGCCAAGACCGCCCTGCGGGTCATCCCCAGCCAGCAGCTGGCACACTCCTTCCCCCGGGGCCCAGGGGACGAGCTCCCACCCCTGCTGTGCCCCGAGCCCCGGCTGCTGCCACAGGCTCCCAAGAGCTGGTTCAAGGACATCATGCACCTGGTCAGCTCCCCAAACCCACGGCGCGTGGAGGAGTACTGCGCCCGCCTCTGGTGCAGCAGCCGCCCTCAGCACCGCAAGAGCAAGATGGCCCAGGCCAAGCTGGTCCTGGCCGGCGTGGACGTGGCCAAGAAGGGACGGACAGGCAAAGCCCACAGCGAGAGGAACCGTGTGCCCCGGCATGCACCAGCCACTTAGGGAGGGCAGGGGACAGACGTGGGGCAGCCGTGGGCAGGGACCAGCTCCCTGTGCTGCTGCTGGGGCCTCTTCACCTGCTGCTGGGTGGCTTGCAGTGCTGCCAGCTTGATCCCCCTGGCTGGAGTGGATGGGCAGGTCCCTGTCACCCTCAGGGGCTGCAGGGTCACTTCACAGACAGGCAGTGAGGTGGGACACGTTGGCCCCCCTTGCTCTTGCAGGTGATGCAGCAGGTGGGGGCCGTGGTGCCTGGGTGGGCTGGGGCACAGTGCACGGTGCCACCCGGGCCCTGCTGTCACCCAGGTGCTGCCTGGATCCCTCTCTGAATATTGGGGCCATGTGTGGTGCCATGGGGAGCGGCTGATGGCTCCAGGCTCTTCCCACACCAGCACAGAGCCTGGGGAAGATGATGCCTGCTCATCTGTATGGGGGGAAAGCCAGCATCATCCCAAAAAGCCTCTGTGTGCAGGAGGAGCTCTGTCACATGCTGTGCCTGGGGAGCCAGAGCTGTGCTATGCCACCCAGGGTATGTCCTGGGGGACGGGGCTCCTGCCTACCTTCCCTTGGCACTGGGACACACTCAGCAGTGCCAGCTGTTCTGGGTGCAGCTCCCCACTTCCCCTCTCTCCGCCCCACAGACACAGTTTTAGGGCTGGGGAGAGAAGCAAACGGCTGTGGGCAGGTTAGACCTGTTCCTGGGTAAACACTGGGAGAGGCACTAATGCCACCGCTGTCACTGTGCCCAGGTGGGAGCAGGGACAGGCAGAGGGCAGCCCCAGCAGAGTTTGGGGGGCTGCAGCACACCTGGGGTGGTTTCTGCTGGTGGGTGGCCCTGCAGGGCTGGTTTGGGTGGGCTCCTGCTGCCTGGTGGAGCTAAAGCAGCACCCAGGGCCTCCCCCAAATGCAGGGGTTGGGGGTAGGTGCATGGAGGGCACCTCCAGGCTGCCAGCAAGGTGTTCCTTGCTTTCCTCAGCCGACATGAGCTCACTCAGTCAGCCCGGGGTGATAAAGATCTGCCCCTTCCTGAGGCAGGGCAGCCCCACACAATGGTGTGAACCACGGCCCCGCCGGGACCGGCATTGTTCAGAGCTGGAGGAACGGGAAAGAAAAATAATAATAATAATAATAATTAAAAGGCCCTAAATAGCTCACACAAAGCCAGGTCATGATATCATCTCTCCTCCCCGTGTGTGTTTGTGCTGCAGCAGTGGCTCCCTGGGAGAAGCATGGCCCCATCCCACAGAGATGGGCTGGGGGTCCTGGCCCTCTTCTCCAGCTTCTACTGCTCCCTGTCCTACCTCTCCTGCAACCTCCTGGGATGGGAGAGCTGTGGTGGGGCAGGCAGGCTGGGACATTTTCTGCAGGGAGCGGAGTGGTGTGGGTGGCGCTGATTTATGGGGCCAGACAGGAGCCAAGCACGTGGATCTGGATAATTGCAGGCCTGGGGGGCACAGGTGAACAACAGCCAGCAAGCAGAGACAGGGAGGGACCTGGGTGAAAAGCCTGGAATGAGACAGGAGTGTGATTCCCCAGGGCCTGGATTACAGAGCTCTGCAGTGCCTGCACTGACCCGTGCACCCCTCTGCCCCGAGTGACCCCTGTGCCCCACGGAGCAGGGCCTGGGCTGCCCACACTGGGGGAGGCAGCTGGAGGGGCTCTGAGGGCTCTGCTGCCTTTGGGACCTGGCCTTGAGGTGAGCTGTGACAGGCTGGAGGTGGCACCAGGGCCAGCAAGGCTTCAAACTGAGCAGGAACAGACACCAGGAGCAAACAGTCCCCTAAACAGTCCCTCCTTTTGGGGGTGTTTTGTCTCTGCTCCCAGTAAATCTCTGGGGTAGCTGAACCTGGTCCTCCTGGGTAGATTTACCACTAAGGCTGGAGCAGGAGAGATTTTGTCAGGGCTGCACTCTGCAGCCTTGTCTCTGGTGATCACCAGCCAGCTGAGGCAACCTGTGACCCTAGAAACTTCCAGGGAGGGGCTGGGCAGCCATGTGCACACCCACATGTGTAAGAATCCGTGTGCAATACAACACACATGCAGTACAATGCACCTGGGGCTGGGAGGATGCAGCACCCGGGGCAGGTCCAGCACCCCGGGCACCCCGGTTTCTGCAGGGGGAGCAGTCCCACCTGGGCTGGGCACTATCCTGGGGAAGGGTGGGTGAGGGGATCCCTGGGGCCGGCCAGGCGTGGGAACGGCCCCAGAACAAAGCCACTCCTATTTTTATCCCGCTTCCCAAGGAAGTGCATCCAGGGGCGCACGCTCGCCCTGGCAGCCTGCCAGCCTCCCGGGCGGCCACGGTGGAGCTGCTGGCCAGGCAGGGCTGGCCCCAGGCTCACCAGCAGCCCTCACACCTCGGTACACAATCACAGCCCCCAGGCTGGAAGAGATCCCCGAGTCCAACCTGTGACCGACATCACCGCTGTGTCACCAGACCATGGCACGAGTGCCACAGCCAGCCTTGCCTTAAACACCCCCAGGGACAGTGACCCCACACCTCCCTGAGCAGCCTGTTCCAAGGTCTGATCACCTTTGCTGTGAAGAAATTCTTCCTGATGTCCAACACCTCCCCCGGTGCAGCTGCAGACTGTGTCCCTCTCATCCTTCTTTAGCTGCTGGGAGGAGAGGCTGGGGAGTGCAGCCCTTCATCAACAGGGCAGCCTGGGCTGCTGAGCCTGAGCCCCATCACCATCATCATCCCCAAACAGCCCCACAGACAAACAAAACAACTCCACCAGGCAGATGCACCCACATTATCATTTTTGCTATTTCTTTCCTCCCAACATGTACATTTTCAGAGCCCCTGTTATGAGCACTGGCCATGGGCTCCATCCTGCAGCCCTGCAGGTTGCTGTTCTGGGGGAGGCCTGTCCCCCAGCAGTGCTGTGGAGTGTCACAGTGAGCAGAGGGTCCCTGAGGCACAGGGCAGAACTGAACAAGCATTGAGTATCAAAATGTCTGGAGAATTGCAGGCATAAAGCTGACGAGCATGTGCCAATAGCTGAACTCCCCAGACAATAAAGGGAAGTAGCAGCATACAGTGAGGAAAGGGAGAGAAGAGAGGCTGGAAATCAGTCACCAGGAATCACAGAGAGATGTGACAAACCCTACTGCTCTAGAGGCAATAAGCTCCAGACATCCATCCTTCCTGCACACCCTGCGCCAGAAAGAATGTGAAAAACACGTTCACTGTCCTGTGAAATTTTAAACAGTTTAATGAAGGCCAATAGGAGACAAAGCCCATAAAGCAAAGATTGTTATGGCCGGGCGTGTCTCAGCCAAGAGCACACCTGCTCTATTGGAAACACCCTTCATGCACCATTTCTATGGCATCAGCCTGTTACATATGCATAAACAATTATACATAGTAAACTTTTCCCTGAACTATTTTACATATTCCAAGAACTGTTTAGCATGGCTCCTCCTTAGTGCTACCCTTTAAGAGCACGTGTATTCCTTGGCTGTGGGTTTGGTCCATTTTATCACCACTTGCAGTTTTGGCCCACAGTGCCTTCAGAAGGGGAGTGCTGATGGCTGGCACATCTGTACAGGTGTCCTCATCCTGTGTCCATGGGATGTTATCCCATCCCAGCAGGGAGTTTAACAAAGGCACACTCACATCAGCTATTTCACCAAGCTCAATTAACAGCAGAAATTAAAACTGTATCTTTACAACAAAGTTGCTTTAACACCACACATGTAAAATCCATTTTAATATTCGCGAAAAACCAACATTACAGTATGTATGGGTAGCAGTAAGAGCTCGGAACAGTTTTCCAGGGAACATTGGGCCATTCCCGGGCCATTCCGGGCCCCTGTTCTGAGCAGTTTCCCAGACCATCCCCGGGCCGTTCCCGGGCCATTCCCGGGCCTGCGCGCGCTCCCGTTCCCCCATGTCCGCGTGTCGCGGCCGTGTGACGTCACGGCGCGCGATGACGCAGAGCGGCGAGCGCCGGCGGGGCCCGCAGTGGGGGCCGGACATGGCGGCGCGGCCCGGCCCGCGGGAAGATGAATAAGGGCTGGCTGGAGCTGGAGAGCGACCCCGGTGAGCGCGGGCACGGCACCGTGTAGCGGGCGGGGCTGAGGACGGGCCGAGGCACAGCTCGGGGCGGCGAAGGGGCTCTGAGGGACACGCGGGCGGCGGGGCCTGGGTGGGGGGGACGTGGCAGATGGGCCAGGGAGGCTGCAGGGGCGGGCTGGGGGTGTGGGGTGCTAGCGGTGGGACTTGTGGTGTATGGCTAGAGTTTTGGGGGGGCTGGGGATGCGGGTGAGCTGGTAAAGTTTGGCGGGGGTGCGGGTACGGGGTGTGCAGGTGAAGTTCTGGGGGGCTGGGGCTGCGGGTCCACCGGTGAGGCTGGGGTGGTGCGGGAGCACAAATCAGGGGTGTCCCCTTCCCGCTGCCCTGGGGTGGATGCTGACAGAGTGATGGAGTTGTTTCAGGGGTTGGGATTTCAGGGCCGATGCTGGTATTGTCTGAAATGTAGTTTTAGCCGGTTGTTTTAACTGAGTTCCTGTAGTGTGGAATGGGGCTGTCCTGTGCAAGGCTGGGAGCTGCTCTCTAGGATGGGGTGGTGAGGTTTTGGGGCTGTGGGTGAGGAAATGTGACCTCTGGAGTTATCCTTGTCTCTTGCACTCAGCAAAGGATTCTGTCTGGTGTCGGTGTCCCAGTCACCCCCAATTCTGCTGTCCTTTATTCTCTTTACTGGTACTTGGAAGAGGCTGAAATCATTCCCCTCCTGGCCTTCATCATGGAAAAATGTCCCAGGACATGGTTTGGATTCCCACAGCTGGGAGGGAAGGTTATTTGCTTGGGGGACAGTCTCTCTGGGCACAAGCAGGGTTTTTTGGCTATGTGGCAGTTTGGCTGCAGAGGTGGCAGCTGGGACAGATGTTAGGAGTGACCCATGTGCTGCTCTCAGCTTCCAGCACATCCCAGTAGGTGAATATCTCCCCACTGGTTCTGAGTAGGGCTTGGGGTGGAATCTGCGGGTGCTTTACTGGTC